CTCTCTCTCTCTCTCTCTCTCTCTCTCTCTCTCTCTCTCTCTCTCTCTCTCTCTCTCTCTCTCTCTCTCTCTCTCTCTCTCTCAGTCTTCTTCGTCGTCGTGGTCCTCTTACTGCAGGTGCGCGGCGGCTTCCTCAACCGAAGGTCCGCTATGGCGGACTATCTCCTCCAGCGGCTACCTCTGCTATGGCGCATCGGCCCTGCACACGACGGCGCGCATGGGATAGCGGGTACCTGCTCTGTTACCAGTGCAATCAGACTCGACTTATTCACACTTTTCATGCACGTGAACAGCAGAACAACAAACTGGCGCCATGCGCCCACACAGAACTCAGAGATATGGCTTCCAAGTAACAWTTCGCTTCCACTGGCTATGGCGGCTGTGCGCCTCAAACAACTCACTGTTCACACTCTGGATCACCCTGGTTGTCCCACAYGYGATACTCAGAACACACACACAGTACACACACTCTACACCCTACACTACGCTATGGCAGCTATGGCTGCCGCTACCTATCASTAKGACTACACTGCKTCACTCTCGCCCACTTCGTCTTCGGGCGYACTGCAGACCTCCTTGCACAAGACGCTAAGGCAGCGCTTCCGCATGGCTTCCGCATGAATGAATGAATGGCTGGGCGCAGCCTCTTGATTTATACTTTTCTGCCTCGTTGGTCTGCCCGTTCTTCCCTGGCCCACGGTGCACACAGTCCCAGACGGTACTTGCTTGACTGGACCGGACTGACTTTGCTGGGACTGCTGACTCTGCGTGGTGGGCTTCCACCACTTGCCCACTGGCCTCTACCTAAACTGGGGCTATTCACCAATTCGCAGTAGCTGATGCAGATCCCAGGGCTCGATCCCTAGTTCCCCCATCTTACCTGTGTACAGTACCGGTGTCAACCTGTAGATTTGAACCTGTGACCTGTAGGACCGCCAGTGGTAGGTAAGATCTCGTAGGTTACAGGGTAGAAGGGATTCGAACTGTAGACCAAATGAGACCAAATTTGGTACACAACAACCTTGAACCAAAACAACTGGAGCTGAAACTGGGGGTCCCCGTTAACCACATGTGCTCCAGGTACGTTCTTCCTAACTTAATTTTCCCATCTTCATCTCTTCTTAACGTGAGGGAGAGAGTCCGGCTTGAGAGTCCTCCTGTGGTCAGGACTCGTGAGCACTCTTACCTTGAGAGTCGACATTCTTTTTGGTGGCGCATCTGGTGGGAGAGGGTGGTGCCTCTGAAGCGCCCTATACAAAGCACGGGTCACAGTCACCATGCCAAGCACGCATGCTTTGCTGCATTATCCTTTGAGCTCTTGCACGCATAGAGGGGATGCTGGGCAGGCCAGGCTTATGGGGGATCGACATGTACTGGACCGTTGTAAAGATACTCCGGCGGGGAAACCGACTCGCACCGTATGCGACGATAAAAATAGTACGGACATGGCTGGCTTGTTCTTCATTACCTGGGCACAGGTGTGGGCTGTTGTGCACACCATAGTCACCGCTGCTTTATTGATGCAGCCAGGACATTGGCCCTGTCCATACTATTGGTGCTTGATTATTATTATTGTTATTTTTATTTTGATTAGTTAAGGTGTTTACGGACTGCTGACACCTGACAAACAGCAATTAGAACTGTAGCAGTCTACCATTTACAGGCCTGTTTATTGCTGCTGTTTGAGAACAGGTCGAAGTAGGAGTCAGATCATTTGCTGAGTCTGTGTCCATTCTGTTTACACCACGTGAAAGGTAGCCTGTGTTTCATAGCGAATACACCGTGATCTGCTTTAGCTGATGAGCGGACACAGCAGTGAGGAGGGTGACACGGCAGAGGGCACGGAGATTGCCGCTCGTGTTCCAGACCTTACGACTGGGTGGGGAAAGGGCTTTGCGTGCAGTAAGTGCTGCCCGTAGCGACATAGGGAGGAAGCAGCAGCAGGAGCACAGGGAAGAGCAGCCGCAATGGCTAGCGCAGCAGCAACCTCAGGCACACAGACTGTTTTGCAAGTCTCTTCTAGCAGCGGGATGAGTACAGGTAGTTCTGTCAGTCAGATGGTTGGCTCACAGTACAGCTAACCTGCTCAACTCACAAGGGACGGCCTTAAAGGCTCAGGAGGTAGAGAATGAACTCAGGAATGGTACCTTAATAGCAAATAGAGCTAAGCTTAGGCAGACCAGACTAGAGACCAGGGAGCAAGATAAGGCTGTATTAGAGGGAGGGTTAGATGACTCAGTCCTTGATGACACAAGTATGGTTCTCAAGGCGGGTATGTTGAGCATGTACGAGTACGTGGACAGAAAACTGCATGACATCCAGCTGACTCTTGACTCGATACCTTGAGCCATGCGTGGAATGGGAAGACCAGTCCCATCCACAACAGGTGGGCCTAGTGTTTGGGCACAACCATCAGTCCCATCGCCGTCTACATTGCCGATGATGTCAGGCACCTTCGTCCCTGAATTCGGTATTGTACCAGATGGTGTCGGCAGCAGGTATGCAAAATGCTGCTTCTTCATCTTCTCCACCAGCTGCTGCAGCTGCAGGGCAGCAGCCGGTCCAGCCACCTGTGCAGCAACAGATTCCAGCTGGACCACAGCAAGTGGTTTGCAAAGACCCCGTTTTCTCCTCCCGAGTCCTTCTCAGGGCCCAAGGAGGAGGAGGACCTCAATACTTGGTTGAGGACAGTTCCAACGTGGGTAAGGGCCAAGCAAACACTGCCCAACAAGGAAGTGATTGTGGCTTCCTCCTACCCCAAAGGTTCGGCAGCAAGAATAGCGGTCCCCCTGAGGCCGGGCAGGTAGGCTGGTCCAGTTTCAGGCCATTGGTCTGATCCTGGTCCGGTACCACAGGTTTTCCCAGTACCTGGATGTAAGCTGGTATATCACTTCGGCCTAGGCCCAGGTCTGGGGCTCGATTCTCTTTTCCGTTCGGTCGGTGACCCATTCATTCGTTCAACCGGAAATTCCACGTTCATCCATCACTCTTCCTCTCACATCTCCATCTCCGCACGTGCACCTTGCACGTGCGTCACACTGGTATCAGAGCAGGATGACCTCCAACCTGCTCCCTCCCTCCCAACCTGCATGCCACATGGCCTTCCCACCATCTGCCACATGGCCTTCATACCATCTACCCCATGGCCTGGCATCTGCAGGGCTGCTGAAGGCATGAAGATCCCCAAGACCGCATTTTGGACTGCTGCCCCCCTGCGTAAGATTCCTAGGCTGGCGTCCATTGCCATCGCCCGCCCTCCAACAACTCTTTTTTGACGTTGTCCGTGAGACCATCCTCCGTCTTCACTGATAGGCTCCAATGAGGTCTCCAACCGACACGTCATCTGCTTCGTTCATGCACCCTCTGCGGACCACCACCTTCATCGGACTTCAGCGGAGCTTCCTTGACAGTCGACATTGCTGACTCCTCCACGTTCAACCCCAACAGGAGCTTCATCGAGGAAGCTGCTACCGGCGTTGGCCTCCTTCAGCCCGCCGCCTGCTCGGCTTCGTGTGCGTGCCCTTCTTCCCCTCCCCCTCCTCATTCTTGTGCTTGCATGTGGCCCCTCTCTGTGCGTAGGTGCATTGATTGTCGTGCACACACCGGGTTGCCCTTTTTGCCCAGGTGCGTGCCCTGCTCCCCCACCCCCCGCAGACCCGTTGAAATTCCTCCTCATTTCTGTCTTCGCCACGTCCTCTTCTCTACCCCGATCCCGACTCT